GTAAGTCATTGAAACACAGAACCACCTAAATCCGATTGAACTTAAGTTTTTTTGGCCTGCAAAGATCCAGCCTGGCTTGTAAATTTGCGTGTTCCTAGAAGTTAGACTAGAGAACTAGGAAAGTTGCCTTGAAATCACTGCATTCCAATGTGCGAAGAATATGCTGCCTAGGTTGGCGTCTGTGGTCTGCGACAGTCGCAGCTGACCCCCCAGAAAGTGGGAATAATGGATGTCAAACAACGTGTAACAAAGTTTTGCTCCACCTCTGTTACATCGTATCAGTTCGATAAGGTAGTAGCAACAAGCGCTCGATGCGTGCTTTCACGGAACAAATCTACATAGCGGACGGTACTAGTGCCCCACATCCCATATCATCACGCCTCCACCACATTTAAAAACGGCTCCCAAAAAAGATTTCAATGGTGCACCCCGAACTACCTCTTCTCTATCGACAACCCTGACAGCACAAACGACTAAAAAAAACAACAACAGCGGTCGTATACTCCTAAACAGAGATGACGTCCCACCGCCCCACTGTCACGTCTAAAACCACATAATCTGAAGGCCTTTCGTGCTTTATCATAAATTTAATATGCACAACTCCCCTTGCTACCTAAACTGTGACACCAGGACTCCATACTTTACTTATTTTAACTAAGACTTCATCGTTCTCCACAACCAACACCAACGACCTCAACAATAAAGACCCCCTTCCCTTAAGTACGCCACCGATACCTAAAGCAGCTGCCGCACAGAAGATACCAGTCCTACCCCCACCCCTGTACCCACACAACACACCTTACAACAACCTTAAAACGAGCCACAAACTAAAAAAAAACAACAATTACAACATATTTGAACAGACATCATGACGCGATTCTGCCAATGCATCGCCCCAAAGCCACAGTTCAGATCCCGCGACCTTATGGCCTCTCGTGCTTTACCACAAATTTATGGTGCATAATTCCTTTTGTTCTTGCTACCTGTACTGTGACATCAGGACTCCCTTCCTTACTTATTCCGACTAAGATTCCGTTGCTTCTCAGGATTGACAACAATGACCTCATCGGTAAGCAGTCCTTTCCTTTTCCTCATCATATCCATATACACTCTGGCCCTGCTCACAGTATCACCCTTACAGCCATACAGTTCCACCTGAAATTTGTTGCTTTAATAACACTTAATATGAGCAGTGAAATACAAAACTATTTAACGCCGACTCCTATCCAAACACTCCTTAGAACTCCCTATATCCTTCCTGACTGAAGACCTTTACAAAGTCACTTTGTAGGAGAAAAACTGGCGTGCTGACATTACTCCACAGTCTTCTTCCTTTTGAGTTTTAGAAGTGTAAGAAACACCGATCTCTTGATTTGAATGTTGCAGCCAGGTGCTTAAAGTGCTTTCAAATTCTCATTGAAAACTTGAAATCCACCTCACACTTCTCCTGCATGGCCATCCCACCAGAAAATCAAAACTCTAAAGAAAACTGAAACCGACCTCATCTTCCGTAGTCGGCTCCCACAACGGATCTTCATCTAACATTTCCCAATGAGAAAATTCCAACTGCCCAGATGCAAGCCCACTAGTTTTTTTCCGTAGCTGCTCACAAAAAGAAAAACTTTCGATGATTGGTATGTAAGCTTCAACCACGAACAAACCACTGGCCTGATTCATGTCCTCGTTAACCACCTGAACCAACGGGTAATTTTTATCCATTAATTACGGAAGCAAACTTGCAGTTACCCTCGCCAAACTTTAATACGCCGTAACAAACTCTGTACCCCACAACTTGAAGAACCAATATACCTTTGCCCTTCTTTGAGAAAGCACAGCATGTACTTTGCCAAGAGCCGCTGAACTGGTTTGAACGACACATTTATACATTGCAACCATCAACCGTAACGGGTGCTTCTCAAGCGCCGCACTGAAAAACTACTTCTGTATCTTGAGAGTAGAGCACTAGTTTAGAAAATCAAAGCCAATTCAGAAAAGTACTTATAAAAGAACATCAGAAAAAAAGAAGTAGTGGCCATCAATATTGAAACATTTACCGACAAGTCTGTCTCATCGCAGTTATCAAAGAACCAGCAAAAGTAGGATCATCATTATCCTGAATTATCCAATTCTCGACAACAATACCAATGCCCCACATACACTCCTCACATAACGGGCCACCTCCCGTGACAAGGTCAAAACCAGCAACCAGTGACTGGTCATAGGCTCGAAATTTTCTACTACCTTCTGAAAAAGTCCAGATCAACTCTAGGCCTTGAAAAAAATAAAAGAACACGACCAAATAAAAAAAGATAAAATGCTAGCCAATGAGGACTTAGGACAAATAAATTACTGCCCACTTTCCCAAATAAAAGGTCTTTCATAATCCTGGATCCAGTTAAAGAGGATGTTGAACCTTGCTCGAGGAGGTCCAAAGGCCCAAATTTTTTCGATTAGGAACCTAAACAAATAGCCTTGCAGTGTCACAGACACAGTGAAAACCAATTCCCCCTACCTCAAAGTTTCTTCTGTTTGTTTACACCACCAAGTTCCTTTAGCCTCCTTTAACCAGCGAACTCCATCATTTAAAAGATTTCGGTGGAGCATGCGGACTTCTTCATTATCACAAATACCTTGGCGCAAACTTTTCAACGCATCTTCATTTTTCTCTAAGAATTTAACCAAAATAACTGGCAGGGGCACAGCTCGCAGTTTTATTTTAGCCATGCCATTCCGAACGCTGCATTCCTGATAATGTAAACGGTTGTTTAAACTGCGAATAACTCTCGCAGCTCCTTATTATATCATTATAAATTAAAATGTCAATTTCTTAATCAAACTTACTGTTTCATGCCCGCTCAGAACTGACGCAGCCGCAGACGATGGTGCAATAGTCTCCATAAACGAAACAATCGGTTCAGATACTTTCAAATTTGTTTGTCCCATATCGGCTAAATCCTTAAGACACTTCTGCAAATGAACTTCACCTGAAAGGTAACTATCTATAGTGAATGAGAAACAGACTTAAATAGAAACAACCGTAATTTCAGCCTGAGTACGAAATAATACTCAAAGAATCTTTTCCAAAGTAAGAACTCATTTCATGAAGAAAATGCTCGTGCTTAGCTAACTAGCTCAACTAATACTAAGACTTATTTAAAAACGTAACTGTCTTTAAACTTGGTAAACTACCAGTTGTACTACACAAAATAACAGTCATATGGGCACAAAAAAGCCCTTATGACAAAGACAGAATGTATTTAAAATGGTCCAAACTTGAACAAAGTATAACCTGCTGTCAGTAAAGCTATCTCTCCATTTTCCTGTTCAATTACACGAACACTGCTATCCAGAACGCTTAGTTGTTTGAGGGCCAACATTAGGGTATCCCACTCGTCAGCAGTTCCCATACACTGGACAGAGACTCTAACAAGTGGTTCTGTACTGCTAACCTTATTTGAGAAACCCTGAGAGAACGGTTCACTGCACAGTGTACATGAAACAACAGTTTCTTTTAGCTCAATGGCACAAATGGCGCCGGCCCTGGCACACGGTACTTCTAATTTCTCACGCCCAACCAACATATATATGCTGCCGATTTGAATCTTTTGCCTGAAGAATACTACGAGATAACTGCTTGTAATCAAAAAAGTATTCCCTATTATGTCGAAAGTGAACGTAAGAAACAACTGATGTATAATATACAGTGAATAAAGTGAAAAAAAAATAAAGCAAAATGCCCTAATTTCCAAATCTCTTTGAATCCACTTACACTTCAGAAGCCTTGACCTTAGAACTCTCTCCAATAACGAAAACCTCGTCGTTCTTCTTTATAGTGCCAGAGAATATGCGACACATTGCCAGAAATAAGTCGTCAACCTTGATGACTTTGGCTATAAATGCTACTAATATACCACTTTCACTACATTCTTGAACTGGCATATACAGTGGATGCCCCTCCGTTATTGCAAAGTAAGCTAGTCGCTCCGGTTGTTTAAAAGACTGACGCGGTGAAGCGCAACGGAACACTGAACGTACGCACGCTTGGGCAAGTGGCAACCATTTCCGCATAAACTCATCAAATGCATCCCCAGGTCTTCTGCTCCCCAGTG